CCCCAAAACCCCAAAACCCCAAAACCCCAAAACCCCAAAACCCCATTTTCCAAATCTCCTATTGAATAAATTATTGGAATGATCTAGTATATTCACCGAAAAACAAGCCTATAGTTGGGGGGAAATTTGGACAATAAACGTTAAAAGATATTTAGGAAGATGTGAAGAAAAACAGATAAACCCACTTAGCAGACCATTATTCAAGGAAATTCTTGGATTAATAGCAATTTATTCTTGGCTTCCTTTCTCCGAATATACTTAGTGCAAGTATAATCTCTGGATAGAGGAAGGATTCTATATTGCCATTAGGACAGTCAATGAATTCCTTTTACTCTTCACCTTCAAAAACCATTGCAGCATTGTTATAAATTAATGTGAGAGCAGGCAAGAAATATTTTTTGATCCTTGAGAAATCACCATCAAAATGCTCAACTTGTTGCTCAGGATTAGCGCGTCCAAAGCAAAATTTAGCAGATTGATTGTTTTCTATACATTGTTCTATCAAGAAGAATTTGTTGATCTTCTTATAAGTCTTTTCAGATTCTTGTTCAAGTTTTGCCTCAGAATCCTGCTCATTCTCGCAATCTGATTCACATACTTCTGTCTCTTTCTCGGCAGCTTCTGAGTCTTGAGGAAGATAGTAAGTAACTTCGTAAGGAATATTAACAGCGCCATCTTTAAAGTGAATAGCATCAAGAGCATCATGGTCAACTAATACGCCATCATCAATCATGAACCTTCCACTGACTCTTGTTAATTCTTCATGTATTTGCTGAAAGGTACTCTCTTTTATCTTATCTTCAATAAGTTTGGATACGGATTTTATAACTAATTTTTTTATTAATTTATAGAGAGGTTTCATCATGAAATCAAGCCACTTTGTTGATAGATTAATTTCCCACCCTTTCTGGTTAAGCTTGACATCTATATCTTTGATATATATGGCAGGACCATTGGTGTATTGGCCTTCTTGAGTGGTCAAGCCAAAGGATAAGGTAATTTTATCAATTATTCCAGTAGTTTTAGCTCTTCCATTAATTTTAAATAAAGCCTTTTTGATTGTTATCGAAGATTCGAACATAAATTTCTGGTTTTTCATCTCAATTGTAATGGAGTTATTCTTCTTATTAAAATACGTCTCTACACCATCAGAATATGGAGGATCTATTGTTAAGTTTACTGAGCTCATCAATAATTTTCCATGCTTTGCCTTATCAATATTGATATCAATAGGAGTGTCAATAACAATCTGCTCTAATACTTTCTTGGTATAAGAAGCCTTCATTCCAACTGTGATTGCTTCATATTCTTCAGCTACTACTAGCAAAGGTATCAGAAGAATCAAAAATAGATTTTTGTTCATCTTTAAATTTAATTATTATAAAATATTTTCTTTTTTTATTTTGTTTGCTGGGGTTTTGGGGTTTTGGGGTTTTGGGGTTTTGGGG